CTGGCTTTGCCCTCACTACCCCTTCATCCAGATGCAGGTAGCCTCCCCATAACCCTGCCTGCCCTAAACCAGTCCTCCACTGCCTGTCCTGCATCCACATAATCTTGTTGATAAGAGCCAAGAGGGGCTACCGAATAGCCGGCCAAGGAGTCCCCTGGCCCCTGGTTTCAGAGTCCCCTAGCTGGTTGAACAAGTGGCCAAAAGCTGGCAGCTGGCCCCTGCCACCATTTGACCAGCAGGCCCCCACGCCATCAGAATGGGATTCAGTGAATCCACGCTGGGTCCCTTTCTCTTGTTCAAATTGGCTGGCTGTGTCCCCAAAGGGAGTGCCCCTGGCCTTGGGGCTCCTGGTGTGACCCTGAGCAAGGGGTACTCAGCCATCCTGTGATGTGCCACTCAACTTCGCCCCAGAAAGATCCGCTATGCCACCAGTCATCACCAGCGTGATGCTTAGGGGTGCTGTAATTGTAATCGTTGTTGTTATTATCATTATTATTATTTTGCTATTTCCTTATCCCCAAGTCTCTAATATCCATGGCTGCCGTTCCCCATAAATCGTTTAGACTCATGAGTCACAGAAAGATGTTGCCCAGGTCTCTGGCTCCGCAATGGCCACCGTCGCGGCTATACCCTCTCTCTCTGCATTTTTGGCGCTCGCTTGCTCCCTCGCTCGCCCGGCGCGGGTGATTTATGGACGCCGGGAAAATTGAACAAAGCCGCGCGGCCGTCCTGTGGTATCTCTGCAGCCTTCCCCAGCGTGAATCAGAACATTACCAACTGTCTACGCATCCATCCCACTTCATCACCAAAGCCAGGATGTGACCGCAGAAAACCAAAGCCCGAACTCACGTTTCCCCGGACGCGGCGCGCTCCCCGGACTCGCAGAAACCCTGCGGAAAAAGCCCCAAGACCCAGCGAGGGCCTGCCAGTTCCGCTCCTCTCCGCCGAAGAGCTTTCTCCTGCCTTCCTGAAGGAGTTAAAAGCCTCTGGAGATAAATCTGAGGGTTTGTATTTTAAAAAATCAAATAGGAAGTTGGAGTCTCACTTCTGAGAGATTCATTCCTAGTGAGGCCCTGACGACTCCGATCCATTCCTGACGATCTGCATTAATTATTTAATGAGTCACGTGACCTCAAAGATTACAATTTCAATATCTCTCTCAAACAGGCGCTACACCTTTATCAGCTGCAACCAGAGTCCCTGTTTGGTTTTTTGTTCCCCAGGCCTCCAGAACGCATTCACCCTTGCCCTGGTCCAGGGTAAGCAACTACCATCGAAATGCCAGGATCAGCCTGCGTAGCAGAATTAGTGATTCTGGGATTATGAGCACTGTCTACAGCAAAGAGCCCACTTTTCTCCCGGACTCCCTGACATCAATTCTCTTCTGTGCCTACTGGTCAGCCCACCAAAGTGCCATGACTAGGGTGGTTTGGTTATAAAAGTTCTCAGGAAGCTTTTATGTCTCATCAGAGAGGAACCCCGGCAGCGTACACCTGTGGCCACCCACTACAAACATAAGCCTAGTTACTTACATCCATTCCTGGCAGAATAGCTTCTGCACAGGAATTATGCCTGTGCACTTATCCCTGGGGTGTGTGTGTCTGTGTGTGTGTGTGTGTGTGTGTGTGTGTGTGTGTGTGTGTGTGTGTCTACAGGCTCCATTCCACCTATACACTAACACAAGGAACTTGATGGAGGGGATCCTTCAGCTTCCTCAGTTTTCTCATCTGTAAATTGAGAAGACTGAACCAAAAAGACCTCCAGATCTCTTTCACCTTGGACATTATTTCAAATCTGGCAATCTCTTTCAGTCCCGGGAATCAATCCCAGAGAGAGTAGGGGCTGAACTGAAATGGTGGGGGGTCAGAGGATGCTCCATGAATTTGGAGCCTTCAGAAGAAATGTCAGAGTTCCAAACCAGAAGTTGCCTACAAGTAGGTTTCAAGACAGACACAGCAGCCTCATTATCAAGGGAACAGAACACACATCTCTTCCTTCTCCTATTGTTTCCAGCCCATACTCTTAGACACATGAAGCAGAGTTATTCTTGGGTCAGTGTACAATGCACAGAAGGAGCGGCTGTTGAGAAAGGTGTGCCTGTGTCCTTCTATACAAGACTGTGTCTAGGGATGCAAAGACTGAGGGGATGCCAAGGACAGCCTATGCTTGCACAGAACCCACCAAATCAGGTGGGAAGCCCCAGGCTCTGTTTGCTACGTTGATTGTGGATTTTCTTTACTTCCATTCTAAAGAGAAAGAGCCACTGATCTGTTTCTATGTTGGAATTGCTAGAGGGAAGGCAATATTGAAAAGAGCGGCACCGTTTGGAAGTGTAGGGGAACAGGGGGACAGAAGGGAGATAGTGACACCCACCGCATGGGAGAAGACTGAGATGTAGTAGAATTGGGCACCCTGGGACAGCTGGGTATAAAGTCAGAGAGCTGTGCAGACAACCTCCCTCCCACCCCCATATATCTAGGTAATCTTCCCATGAGCTCCATCCTGGGTATTAAGTACTCTACTATGCCTGTCACAGTTGAATTCCCACTGTAATAAAACACCGGGTATATCGTAGATTTCAGCAAAACTAGGGAAGGAAGCCTGCAAAGTGCCGTTTTTCTTCAAGGGGGAGAGTGTTAAGTACTTAATTCAAACTGTGACCATTAAAGTGTCTCCTATCCGATTTAGGTTGATTTCAGATGTTGACAAAACTTTTATCTCTGGAGTCATGCACAGCTTGGCTCTGTGACTAAAGCAGATGAGTGTGTACTGGAAGGAAGGAAGGAGAAAGAAAGAAGAGGAGAGCATGTGTAGGGGTCATTTTGGTAGGAGAATTATAGAGCTAACACAAAATACTGTCTTTAAAGGTCAAGGGTTTGAGGGGCCAGTGGGGTTTGCTTTTAAAAAAACCAATTAATGAGATAGAAAATTTGTCCTCTCGGTGAACTCTAATGGTTGCCCTAGCAAAGGGCAGACAATGCATGATTTTGAAGCGCAAAGTGGGATTTTCTAATCTGTTATAACAAGCTCCTTTAAGGGCCAAATCTGAAACAGGCAAAACACTGTGAAGAAATGACAATTCTTTGGCTCATTTTCAATAATTTTGGTTTTGTAAAACTCATCAATGTCTTAAGAATCAATACAGTTTGGACAAAACTGCCATTTTGTCCTGGGATATTAGAAAAAACTAACTCAATCCTCTCTCTTCTTTTTCTGGATAGGCTACAGGAGCAAATGAAAGAAAGTCACCTCCTTCATCCCCATACAACTGCCTCCAGCGGGAAGCTAATGAATGTCCCCATAGCCCTCCTTCCCCATAAAGGAGAAATGTAAGAATTTACCTTAAATGATGATAATCTGCCATTTGAGATTTTGCAGCTTGACACACAATTTCCAACGAGAGTCTAGGCATTTTTTTTTTTTTTTAGCAGACAGCCAAGATGCTGTGTCTTTGCCTGAGACCACATTATTTGCAAGAAGATCCCTCTCTCCTTCACAGACTTTTCCCAGAGAATGCCTTTCAGAATTGCTGTTGAATTACAAAGAAGTATTTATTGTATGAGGTGATTAATGATTCCTGGGAAAATTGCTATTTTCAGCGTGATTTAATTTTGTTTTACAAGTGCATGTAGTAGGGGGAGGGTTAATAAGTTTCAGCAGCAGTTGCATTGCCTCCAGAAATCCCTGGCACTGTTCACACCTTATAAAATGCACTTTATGCTAGGTTTGTCCTGACTTGGAAAGGCATGTGTGTGTTTGTTCACCCCACAGTTTTCTGGCCCCTCAGAGACTGGTGCTCATCACTTTCCTGTCCAATCTGATTTGTTTATAGGTACAGAACTGATCACCTTTGTCTGTATCTCACACAGGGCAGCAGAGGTGAAAGGGGTACCAGCAGTGACACTGGCTAAAGTGTTTTAGCCCTGGTTTTTAAAATGTGCTTAAAATGTATCTGATATTGCAGAGGTGGGTGGACCCCCCCAACTATGCCTGTAATACTACATGACCTAAAAACTGCACTTTTTCAAAGCCAGGTGACAGTTCTAATATTCTGGGGCTAATGTGCATTGGTTTTCAGTATCTTGTTGCAGGGTACTCTCTGCAGTGAACACCAGGTCTAAATCAGTAAATAAATACTACGGTTATGGAGATTGAGAAGTGGGTTTTGATTTTCGACTCTGGATCGAAATCTCTGGAATTCAACGGAAATATCACAAAGCCTTTGAGAAAAATGACCCTAGTTCAGAGTTTGGCTATCTTCCACTAGTGAACTCTCTCAGGTCTACTTTGCTTGGGGTGCATTGTTGGGGTATCATTATGCTTTTTCTTTCCTCAGAAGAAATTTTTGAGAGTGTGCTTGGAAAATTCACTTTATTTTGAAAGCTATTCCTTCAGAAAAGAGAAACAAACAAAACAAGCAAACAAACAAAAATTCCCAAGCTGTAGTTAACGAAGAAGACCTTAATAGCCAAGAAACAAAAAAACAATCTCAACCCTTTGCACAAACTATTTTTTCATCTCCAGGGAAACAGGCAGATTAAGTGTGAAGGTGCAATAAATACCAAAGAGACCACTTCTTTCCAAGTGTGCTCAGAGTTCAGTGTGTAGAACAGCTGCAGAAACTCCTGGGCCCACAGCACTTCATGGTTTCAGCTTTCATTGCAGAGAAGGACACGTTTCTATGCCTTACAGAGACTTGAAGCCTGAAAGCCTGGCCAAGTTTGGGAAGAAGAGGAGCCCTCTCAGAGCTCAAGAGCCCTCCTGCTCTTTGGAACTTTTCCACAGTGGGTCAAGCTTGACAAGAGTTCAGCTCAAGTTGAACATACACACACACAGAGAGACACATACACACTACCACAAATTACGTGAGCAGTCAGAATCAAAGTGAAGTGAATGCAGCTCAAACCATCTACAAGGTTTTTAACATGTGAGGTCAAGCATCTCAATCCAGAGGACTTTTGTTTTCTTAGTGAAAAGCTGAGAAAACACACAAATCTGTGTTACATTTTTAATGTGTCTTTAAAGTGGAGTTTATTCTTTGTACATGGCTTTCTATACAGCCACATCACAATTTGTACAGTTCCACATAGGTCTAAATGCACTCCCCTCTCCCCCAAGATTGTGCCCCAGAATAGGACAACAATAACTATAACAGTATCTTAAATAAATGCAAGGAAGGGAAACTAACATGTCACACCTACCATCAAGGTCTACACATTTTAAGCATTAAATAATCTTGTGAGGTCCACAATGTCTACTCATTTATTCAGTTCAATACAAGCTTGGTTGAGCTGCCTTAATGGGGGAAGAGGAGGAGGCAAGGACGGTGGGGAAAGGGTCTATATTTTTCTGCTTGCAACAAATATACACGTACATGTCCCCAGTCAGCATGGGCTGTGCAGCTGACTTTAGCCATCTCAAAAGTATTTGATACCAAGTAGTCTTTCTCAGGTATCCAAATCTAGCAGCCTTGTTCAGGCCAGCAGGTTGTTCCACCAGCCAGCATCCTGGACAACAGTCCTCGCTGGGGTGGCAACCAGCACACACTCTTACCCGGATAATGTCTTCTTTTTGGTTATCCTTTTCACCAAGTTGGGTTTGTTTTGGTGTTTATTATGGTCCAGAGAGGGAAGGGTGAAGGAGGAAAGGGGCAGGAAAAGAGAGGAGAAAAGCAGGTAAGGGACAGAAACAGATCTAGGTCTCTAGAAGATTATATGGAGGAGGGAACGGGTGTGGAGGTGCCCGGGTGGGGGTGGGAATGGGAATGGGGGTGCGGACTCTGTGTTTGTGCTTTCCCTGGCGGGCCGGCCGAAGCTGAGGCCGAGTTGGAGGATCGCATCTTGGTGTTGGGCAGTTTGTGATCTTTCTTCCACTTCATCCTCCGGTTCTGAAACCAGATCTTGACCTGGCGCTCAGACAAGCAGAGCGTGTGCGCGATCTCGATGCGGCGGCGCCGGGTCAGGTAGCGGTTGAAGTGGAACTCCTTCTCCAGCTCCAAGCCCTGCTGCCGGGTGTAGGCGGTTCGGGAGCGTTTAGGCTCCCCTCCGTTATAACTGGGGTTGACTGAAAGCCCCGAACCCCGAAGGAGAGGGCCAAGGAGGAGGGAGTGGAAGAGAGGAAACGGAGGAGAGAGAAGGTGGGGTGGGGAAGAGCAATTGGACATCATCATTATATAATAACCTGACACCAAGTTCACGCAAGATACATAAAACGGCAAAGAAAATGTTTCACAGGCTATTGACAACGGGAAACACCCGAGAGCCATAAAGAATGGTGCTGGGCATTGGGGCTGAAGAAAAGCTTCAAAGACACATGGCCTGAAGCCTCTGCCAGGGCAATTAAATTTATGGGGGCTATAATTACTGCCCTAACAGTTTGGCGTCTCGTAAATCTCCCGATAAAGGGACCCTGGGTACAAAAGGGTTCTCACGTTGGGACCAGGCGGCTGGCTAGCGCGCACATACCCACAGCCCACTGCAGCCCGGGCCAGATGGGGGCTCCCCTCCGAGGCCCCCTTTCCCGGGGCCGCTCCCTCCTGACCCCCGACCCTCCAACCCGGGCCGCGCCCCAGCCCACCCTCCCGCGCCTCCCCAGCGGCGCCACGTACCGGCGCTGACATGGATCTTCTTCATCCAGGGGTACACCACGGGCTCCTTGCCCTTCAGGCCCAGCGCGCTCTTGTCGGCCAGGAGCAGCGGGCACGCGGGGGCGCTGCCCCCTGCCGGGACGCCCGGGGTGGTCGTGGCCGCCTCGCAGCGCCGCGGAGGATCAGGGGGCGCCCCGCGAGGCTGCGGGGCAGGCGGCGGCTGGGGCTGGCTCCCGGACTGCTGGGCATGGTTCACGTACGAGTCGTGGACGGGGCCCTTGGTGTGTTCAGCCGGCTTCTGCTCGCACTGGGAGGATGTTTCACTGTGTTATTTGAAACTATGTAACTGGAGATATTAAGGCTATAGAAAGCTGGCCAATACCAAAAAACACACTGTTAAAAAATGCTCTAATGGTATATTTACAATTTTTTGAAGCTAGACTGAAGATAGATATTTATAATATGATCTGCCCTTCTCCAGTCTTTCTTTATACCATATATATGAATGAAGTCTTAAA